GGGGCCGGGGGGCGCAAGGCCAGGAGGCGTTTGGGCTTCAGCAGGCCCACTGGGGGGTCACAGCCCGAGGCTGGCAGGAGGGAAGCGCAGCCGTGGGCTCGCCCCCAAGCCAGTCTGCCGCTGCCGGCAGCCGCTCGGAGCGTGACTCGGCAGAAATCCTCGGCGGCTGGCTTTGACGAGAGGGCGCCCGGGAAGGCATGGTCTTAGCTGGCCCACGCGGGCACGCCGGCTCCCGGGCAGGGCGCCCCCCGCGGGACTCCTCCCGGCCTCCTGTCTGCAGAGCCCTGGCCGAGGAGGGCGGTGGCCGCTGCCTGTTTGCGCCCTGCGCAGGAGAGGGCAGGACCTGCCGGAGGCGCAGAGTGAAGACCAGGGTGAGAACACCCAGTGGGGGCCGGTCCTGGTCCTCGGTGCTGCAGCTGCAGGCCCCGGGGGCACGGGGGCTGAGGCCCCAGCTGGAAGCTTCCTGAGCCAGGGCGGCACCCCTTGGGGCCTCTGCTGACCCCTCCCCCTCCCCTCAGCAGTGCTGGTCAGTCTGCCGCTCTTTCTCCCCCCTGGTGACTCCTCCCCCTGCGCCTCTGGCCTGTCCCCCGTTCTGTGCACACATAAATCTTAATTTTTTCAAAAAAAAAAGCAACATCTCAGTGGCGGAGCAGCTGACCCCCGGAGGCGCGGCTGCGCGCTCCCTGACGTCTACCGTCCACCCTCAGGGCCGGCCGCCGGCCTCTGTGGGCTTTCAGGGTCCCACCCCGCCGCACAGCCCGCTCGGCTCCCTTTTTGTTTTAAGATGTATCTATTCATGCACACAGAACTGGGGAGCAGGCCCGAGGTGTGGGGGTGAGAGGACTCACCCGAGACAGAGCGGGGAGCAGGACAGGCAGATGACAAAGTCCACTGCTGAGGGGGCAGCGGGGAGGCAGGAGAGGGCTGCCGCGCCCTGGGGGTCCTCTCCGGGGCGGGACCGGACTCTGCTGAAGCGGCTGCGGCAGCCCGCGCTCTTGCCCTCCAGGTGCAGGGGTCTCTTCCCCCAGGCAGAGCCGCAAGCGGCCCCAGCAGCAGCCTGTCCTGAGCAGCTGCGAGGCTCAGGCGCCCCCGGGGTGCTGCTGGCGCCCCTGGACTGGGGCCGCGGGCACATGCAGCGCGTTGGTGCCAAACGCTGGGGAGCAGGCGGGGCAAGGCCTTCAACCCAGCCCCGCCCGGGGCGCCCTGGCGCGGGGAGCCGCTGCCTCCACCCCGGCCAGGGGTTTCTTCCCACCCACGTGCCCCCGAAAGTTAGTGCGGCGTCTCCCTGCCAGTCCGTGAGCCAGTCCGGTGGGCCGCGCTGGGGCCGCGGCGGGGTGAGGAGGCACCATGTGGCCTCGGGTCTGTGCCCCACGCAGCCAGCTGCTCCAGGCCCCCCCGCCTCCCTGCAGGGTGCCCCCTGCGGGGGGAGGGCGCTGGCCTCAGGAGCTGACCGGGGAGGTCAGTGTCCGTCCCGCCCCCTCAGGCCCATGCTGCCCTCCAGGGACCCCGCGCCCGGGGACTAGCTGGGGGCTGCCTGGAGCCCGGACCCCAGGGGGAGGAGCCTGCAGGGCCCCTCTGGGGTGTGCCTTTGCGGGGCTGTCTCCTGTTGGGGACCCCTGCGGCCTCTGGGGCTGGTTCCTCTAGGGAGTGAGCTGAAATGGGAGGCCCAGAGCCGTGTGGGGGGCGGCAGGCCCCGGGGACAGTGGCCCCATGGCCCATGGGTTCAAGAGAGGTGAAAACCCATGGGGTGGGGAGTGGCACGCTGGGGCACCAGATTGTGGGTCACGCCAGCCCGGCACCCAGGGACGGAGCTGGGAGATGTCCGGCATCACCACCTCCCCGCTGCCACAGCGTCACTGGTTGGGGGTGCTGGTGGGGACATGACGGTGCGGACCCAGCACCCCTCTGGGCTGACAGTGGGGAAAGCTCTCGGCCAGGCCTGGGGTGGTGCCCGAGACGGCTTCCTGCCCAGCCAGTAACAGCGCCCGCCCCCGGGGCCGCACCCCAAGGTGCCACCAGCCGCGCCCAGTCAGCAGCCTCCACCTGCCATGTAGGGCCCCTCCCACAGAGCCGCGGGGCTGCGGGGTGCTCCCCACTAAGTCCCCCGAGATGCGAGAGACCCTCCGGGAGCAAGAGGCCTCGGGGGCGGCCGGCCCTTCTCCCAGACCGCCTCTGCCGGAGCAGGGCCTCACTGGGCCGCTCCCGACGCAGCAGTGGGGACAGGAGCCGGCAGGGCCAGGCGGCCTCACAGGCCACGCACACCAGGACAGTCGTCCCTGCTCAGCAGAGCCGGCCCCCAGGAATCCAGAACCGGAGGGGGGCCGGGTGTCTGCCCAAAGGGCGAGCAGCCCCAGGCAGGAGGGCGTCCTTGGGGCTAACAGCGGCCGCTCTCCGGCTGTCCCCCGGCCCCTCCCCTGGGGGGAGCTTCCTGGCACCACCCTCTGGCTCCCGAGCCTGCGATCCCTGCTGTCCTTGTGACTGGACCTTGGAGCGCTCCTGGGTCCTTTCCCCCTGGGCATGTCCCAGCACCCCGCCTGCTCCCACCTCTAATCCCGCCTCACCCCCGGAGCCCTTCCTTCGCCCCCCAGCAGCTGGACGTCCCCGGGGCCCGGCTGCCCTCCCAGGCCACCTCCTGTCTGTGCTCCCAGAGGGGCCCCCTCTGGACAAGCGGGTGCCTCAGTGGTGTTTCCGGGATGCTTGGTGTCCTGCCTGCTTGCCGGAGACCTGCTGACGCTGTGGAGCCTGATGGCCCACGGGGTCTCCTTGGCCACCCTTTACCACCGGCTGGGGCCTGTTTGGTGACCCTCACCCACCCCAAAGGCCCGCCCAGGCTGTGTCCTCGCCTGTCTGGCCCTGCCCAGAGGTCTCCCTGCCCATGCACAGCTCTGGGTCCTCGGGGAACGTGGGGGCCGTCTGGGCACCTCCCGGTGGGTGGGGCCGGCCTGGGGCCCCGGGCTGCAGAGGCAGCGGTGCAAGAGTGGGGTGACGCCCCTGCTACCCAACACCGGTCCCCAAGCGGGACCCCAGTGGGCTTCTGTGGGTGCTGGTGAAGGTCTGCAGCGCTCCTGCCCCGCCTTGGGCAGCCCAGGGGCCGTGGGGTGTGACCTGTGACCCTGGCTTTCAGGGCCCGGCCCGGGAAGATGGCCCACTACGGGAGGTGCCTGGACACCGCGAGGGAGCAGCTCGGCAAGTTCAAGGCCAGCAAGGACAGCCTGGAGCAGTTCCTGGAGGCCGCGGCCAGCTCCCTGCAGGCAGGCGCCCAGCCCTCCCCACCCCCAGCTGCCTTCCTCCCGCCTGCCGGGCCCCCCACCCCTGGCCACGTGGCACGCCTGCCCCAGGAATGCCCTCAGACCACCTTCTGAGAGAAACGCGTAGCTCGGACTGTCCTCGCAGGACACAGGAGGCCCAGCCTTGCAGCCCGACTCCTGGGCCAGAAATGCCACAGAGCCGGGACCCCTGCGGGGCTCGTGGGCGCAGAGCTGTGGGGTCCCCTGGGCCCCAGAGCACGTGAACGGCCGAACGCGCCACCCAGCCGCTACCTGGCTTGGAAACCGACTTGTTGGGGTGACTAAGTGACAACCAGAGAGGCCATTCTCGATTCAGAGTGGGGCCTCATGAGGGGAGGAACACGGGGACCCAGCGCCCTGGCTGGTGACAGCAGACCCCAGCCCAGCGGGGCGCCGCCGCAGGGGAAGCCGGGCAAGCCCACCATGCCCAGGAAGGAAGCAGCTGGCCACGCCTCCCTCCTGGACACCCAGCCTCCAGAAGAGGCCTTCCTGCTGAGCTCCAGTTTTAAAGACCTAGTTATTTATGCACACACGAGCTGGGGTGCAGGCCAGAGGTGCAGGGGCGGTGAGGGGACTCGCCAGAGACAGACTGGGGAGCAGAGCGGGCAGATGGACCAAGGACACCTCTGAGGGAGCAGCGGGAGCCAGGAGGGGCCTGCTGCGGCCTGGGGTCCCGCAGCGCGGCGTGTTAAGCCCCTGCACCACCAGGGAGGCCGGGCCCTTGTTTTCAGGCGCCGCGTCTGTGCTGTTTGTCACAGCTGCCCAGCAAGCCCAGGAGCCCCCTGTGGGAGCTGGGCGGCACCAGAGCTGCTGCGAGATGCGGGCACGAGCGAGGGGGCATCTGTCGCGCAGGTGCCGCCAGCTGGGCCGGCTTCCCCCAGGGGGCGGGGTCCTGGCCGTGGGCGGGGCCTGGGTCTAGGCAGAGTCCTGGCTGTGGGCGGGGCCTAGCTGTGGGCGGGCTTCTGGCTATGGGCGGGGGCTGATTGGGGGCGTGGCCTGGGTCTAGGCCGAGTCCTGGCTGTGGGCGGGCTTCTGGCTGTGGGTGGGGCCTGTATGGGCGTGGCCTGGCTGGGGCGGGGCCTGGCTGTGGGTGGAATCCTTGGCTGCTGGGCTCGCAGTTGTCCAAGGACCCCCTGGCCGGGACTCTTGGCCCAGTTGTGCACCTGGGGCCTGCGGCCTGACCCTATTGACAGGGCCAGCTCCCACCTCCCAGCCAGGGCGGAGGCTGCGGAAGGGCCTCCAGGCCCTGCCTTCTCACCCCTGCTGGGGGGCCAGCCCGCTCAGCACTACCTAGGGGTCGGGGAACCTGAGCGGGAAACCAAGGCAGACGCCTGCATGCGGAGGTCAGAGTTGGTGTTGAGGCAGCCTGCCCCCACGTCGTGCCGCAGGAACTGGGCCTGCAGGGGCGGCAGCGTCTGAGCAGCCGTGCGTGGGGGCAGGGGCAGGAACCCAGCACGTGGCGCCTCTGCGGCCATGCTGAGGTCCTTCTGGGCTGCTCCGGAGGACGATGGGCACCGTCTGACTTCCAACTTGAAAGACTGGCAGCTGGGCTGGAAGGAGACGAAGCAGGGGCAGGGCGAGCAGCAGGAGCTCTGGGGTACCCAGCACGGGGGCAAAGGCTGAGCGGCAGAAGGGCCCCAGCCTGGGGTAGAGGGGTGCTGGAGGAGCAGACCTGAGGGCAGCCCCAGACCCGAGGCCAGCAGGCTCCTGGGCTCGATCCACCCGGTGCCCTTTGGACTCAGCACATTTTCAGCTGAGTCTGCAGTCCTCGGAGATGGGGAGCTGTGGGGGGCTAGGGTCCTGCGGCTGGGGCCCCGTGTCTGCCGGGAGCCCAGGGGCCTGGCGGCCGACCCGACCCTCGAGGGAGCCTGGGTTTGTCCTGTGAGGTTCGGCCACCTCTGCGGGAAGGGCTGCAGGGTCAGTGGTCAGTGTCTGGGCAGCCCTGTGGGCCTTCGCGGCCACTGCCCCACCGCACCCCACCCTGGGGTCCTGTAAGAGCTGGAGGGGCCAGGTGGTGTCTGCGCCCCAGAGCAGAGGCTGCCCAAAACGTTCTCAGGCTTCTGTCGCCGTGACAGCAGACAGGAGGGCCGGCACCTCGAGGCCGGTCTGAGCCGGCGCCCTCCTCACGGCCAGTTCCTGTCGGACTAAAGCAAGGGGCGGCACAAAGGAAGAGATTTGAGCTCAAAAGGGTGGAGCAGGGGCCTCCGGGGGCCGGAGGTGAGTCTCAGGCTGTCACCATCTCAGCCGCCATGACCCCGCCAGGAGGGACCCCGGGGC